TGAAACTTCTTATGTTGGTCATACTTCCAAAAATAATAATCTGTGATTCTGAATGCCAGTATCCACACCAGCGCGGTGACTGACAGCCTCACAGTCTCCTCAAACACTGTGTTCATCCGCGCTGTGCCGTGTCGAGGGTGTTGAACTACAACTCACGTAAACTTGATAATTCCGCGAATGACTGCAATTGCAGATTTCGAACAGAGATGGCGACAAAGAGGAAAAACGCCGGACTGCAGCTTTAATACGCATGTGCATGCCGTCACCATTTTCTCAGTTTCACGGTTTTGAAGTTTACACAGAGATGATAACGGTCTCAACGGTAGCTTTTAAAACCCGTTTTCAAAAACTTGCACTTTGAAACCTACTTCAAAGTCTGTGTTCTCAGGACACCAAAACGCCATTGTAGTGTAAATGAACAGCCAGAACGCATTAAAAGCTAATAACTAATGATTTTTACAACAGAAATTAATCAATTAAACTTTCTTAAGCTAGACAATGACTTTCTTCTAGAGCTGCTGTACAGCCAAAACAATTTCCGATTATCATATCACTGTAAAACTGCTTTGAAACAATCTGTATTGTAAAAAGCGCTATATAAATGAAGGTGACTTGACTATAGTACATGTATTTAAGTAATTTTAAAGGCTATTGTTCATTAATCATTATGCCTATTTTTATTATCGCAAAAAAATATTATTGATTACACGATTAATCGTCGAGATATTTGTCTGATTACTCGATTACCAAAGTAATAGTTATTGACAGCCCTATATTAATTAAAACATTTTACATTTCACCATGTTGTGACTTTCAGTTGAATAAATGAATATTATTTCCAGTTATATATTTCATCGTTGAAGATTTATTTCAAATAGTGTTAAAAGAGCGTTGCGTCTCGTGAGCTAAGTGAATCGGCACCCCCAATAAAACAATTTCCTAAGAACAAAATTGTGGCCAGTGAAAATGCTGAGTGACTAGCAACTTATGAAAACCACTAGCTGCTGGTGAGCAAAAATGTTAATGGCAATTCCTGCATTCACCACTAAGTGGTGCTATAATAATTAAATTTACGTTTTTGCTATAAACTCCAGAATCAAAATTGCTTTTCTTTCATCTTCCAATGTTATATTATATTTGCCATTCTGAATTTTCTAGAACATCTAGCTAACTAGGCCTAGGCTACTGATATTAGTCGAAATTTGAAACGTATCCTATCATCTCGCCAAAAGTTAACAGAAGAATTCTGATTCGTCAAATCGATTCACAAACCTCCTGTGTGGACACAAAGTCAAAACGTTACACTCACTCGAGCACGCCTGAATGTCATCATTCTGGATATTTATCTACGTATTTAGGCTAGAGACGTGCATTACTGAATAAGCGGTGCAGTAGCCTACCCTAATGCCGAGTTCAGACTGCACGATTTTCAAAATAATCGGGTCACTGTTGTTTTCACATTGCATGACTATCTGGGGTAACATTCAGTTGCTGCTGTGTTCACACTGCACGATGGATCGGCGACTGGAGGTTTCACACTGCATGACTTTACAAAAGAAAGAATCGCCGACAACTTCTGCCTGGTCCGCAAACTACGTTTCACAACCAAACAAACGTGAGAAGTGATAAGGAAATAACGGAAGATCACGCGTGCGTGAGACCGGAGTTCTCGCGCGACACGGAATTTGTTATTAAAAATGATAGCCTACTAGAAGATTGCGATCCAAATTGTCTGTGCACTGATTAGCGAAAAAAAAAAAAAAAATAAAAAAAAATAAACAGTTTATGCAGGAAATGGTTGGGAAGACGAGGGGAGCAAGGACTGTGTTTTGCAAAGAGAGTTGGGGGTAAATAAATAATTTTGCAAATGACGTCCTGCTGTTGCTGCTGGTCTCGCAAATGTTTGTGCTTTGTTTCTGTTTGATATAATTGTAGATATAGGCCTATTCTATTAAAATACTGATATTCTGGTCTATAACTCCTCCCCGAACAGCCTGCTGTCCTGTATCTTGCTCTCTCGTTGGCTGTCGGTCATCGCCGATGTAGTTTTCAGTCAGAACACATTCACACAGCAGGATTGTGAATCGCCGACAGGTCCAGATATTTAGCATGCCAAATATCTCACGGGCGTCGGCGACTCGTCGGCGATTCTCTCAGACCGCGTCTTTGCTCATTCACACTGCGTGATTGTCACTCGCGTGAACGAGCACCGATTTGCCTGTGATTTCGGGCATTTGTCGGCGATTTCTCAAAACCTGTCGGCGAGCCAAAATCGGGGCTAAAATCGTGCAGTCTGAACTCGGCATTATGCCGAGTTCAGACTGCACGATTTTCAAAATAATCGGGTCACAGTTGTTTTCACACTGCATGACTATCTGGGGTAACATTCAGTTGCTGCTGTGTTCACACTGCACGATGGATCGGCGACAGGAGGTTTCACACTGCATGACTTTACAAAAGAAAGAATCGCCGACAACTTCTGCCTGGTCCGCAAACTACGTTTCACAACCAAACAAACGCGAGAAGTGATAGGAAATAACGGAAGATCACGCGTGCGTGAGACCGGAGTTCTCTCGCGACACTGAATTTGTGATTAAAAATGATAGCCTACAAATTGTCTGTGCACTGATTTGTAGCGAAAATGAAAAAATAATAATGAACAGTTTATGCAGGAAATGGTTGAGAAGACGAGGGGAGCAAGGACTGTGTTTTGCAAAGAGAGTTGGGGGTAAATAAATAATTTTGCAAATGTCCTGCTGTTGCTGCTGGTCATGCAAATGTTTGTGCTTTGTTTCTGTTTGATATAATTGTAAATATAGGCCTATCTATTAAAATACTGATATTCTGGTCTATAACTCCTCCTCCTCCCTGTATCTGGCTCTCTCATTGGCTGTCGGTCATCGCCGATATAGTTTTCAGTCAGAACACATTCACACAGCAGGATTGTGAATCGCCGACAGGTCCAGATATTTAGCATGCCAAATATCTCACGGGCGTCGGCGACTCGTCGGCGATTCTCTCAGATCGCGTCTTTGCTCATTCACACTGCGTGATTGTCACTCGCGTGAACGAGCACCGATTTGCCTGTGATTTCGGGCATTTGTCGGCGATTTCTCAAAACCTGTCGGCGAGCCAAAATCGGGGCTAAAATCGTGCAGTCTGAACTCGGCATAAGGGAGACATACACAATATGCAGAGCAGTGGGTCCCTAGGACTGGAGTTGGGAACCACTGACTAATGCCGAGTTCAGACTGCACGATTTTAGCCCCGATTTTGGCTCGCCGACAGGTTTTGAGAAATCGCCGACAAATGCCCGAAATCACAGGCAAATCGGTGCTCGTTCACGCGAGTGACAATCACGCAGTGTGAATGAGCAAAGACGCGATCTGAGAGAATCGCCGACGAGTCGCCGACGCCCGTGAGATATTTGGCATGCTAAATATCTGGACCTGTCGGCGATTCACAATCCTGCTGTGTGAATGTGTTCTGACTGAAAACTACATCGGCGATGACCGACAGCCAATGAGAGAGCAAGATACAGGGAGGAGGAGGAGTTATAGACCAGAATATCAGTATTTTAATAGATAGGCCTACATTTACAATTATATCAAACAGAAACAAAGCACAAACATTTGCATGACCAGCAGCAACAGCAGGACATTTGCAAAATTATTTATTTACCCCCAACTCTCTTTGCAAAACACAGTCCTTGCTCCCCTCGTCTTCCCAACCATTTCCTGCATAAACTGTTTATTATTTGTTTTTCATTTTCGCTACAAATCAGTGCACAGACAATTTGTAGGCTATCGTTTTTAATAACAAATTCAGTGTCGCGCGAGAACTCCTGTCTCACGCACGCGTGATCTTCCGTTATTTCCCATCACTTCTCTCGTTTGTTTGGTTGTGAAACGTAGTTTGCGGACCAGGCAGAAGTTGTCGGCGATTCTTTCTTTTGTAAAGTCATGCAGTGTGAAACCTCCTGTCGCCGATCCATCGTGCACTGTGAACACAGCAGCAACTGAACGTTACCCCAGTGTGAAAACAACTGTGACCCGATTATTTTGAAAATCGTGCAGTCTGAACTCGGCATTATTTAACACACCTGATTCAGATCCTCAGCTCGTTAGGATAGACTCTGAACTGAGTGTGTCAGATAAGAGAGATATACAAAATGTGCAGAGCAGCGGGTCCCGAGGACTGGAGTTGAGAACCACTGCCCTAAGTGTTCAAATATTAGGACAACGCATTTTTTTTAAACAATTTTTGGTGTGCCACCCCACCTTACTATTTTTACTGGATTCATCTGGCCATCCATTAAAAATATCCTCAAGGACATTTCTGCGTCGAGACCCGTCCTCCTGCTGTGCTTGTTCAGACCCATCTTCTCTCTCTCTCTCTTTCACACACACGCGCAAAAACACACAATGATATAAATTTACTGCAGGAAGGGTCAAAGCGCAAAATCCGTCTTTCTATCACTGTTGCATTCCATACTCCCCAGTTCTCCAGAAACTCCCCTTTCTTTCTTTCTTTTAGAGAGAAACACTTGCACTGTTGCAACAGGTGCTTATTTAACAGGATGTTAAAATGTGTAGTGTTTGAGTTCGAAACAATTAATTAATGCCACGGTAGCCTACTTACAGCAAAAACAAACAAACAAACAAACAAATAAAACTGCTTGTTTCTGTCACTGTAGCCTATCAGGGCATATAGCCTACGTCATAGTAGTTTAGTAAAGATTTGCATTTTTTTCACAAATCTGTAGGTTTTCATCAATTATAAAATTGTTCACGAGAAAATAAAAATAAATAAGCCCAAAGTCTAATATTAATGGGACACTTTATAAGCCCAAGATTGTTCCAAGAAATCAGCTGATATGCCTATTTATTAAGGCATATTAATAAAAAAAAAAAAAAGACGCAAATTATGAAAATCCCATATTCCTAACGTTGTCATAGGTAACTGCAGCATTATAATTGTGCACCCATTAAATCACTTACCGCTGACTTCCCGAGGCTCTGCGCTTCCTGTGGGCTCAGTGTCTACTTTACGTCCACATCTCCCGAGCCCTTGAACCAGCTGCTCCAGGGGCAACTCCAAATCCGGCTTGGGATAACACCGCAGACCACTGGAACATCTCGGTGTGTAAACGCCGCACAGCTCGCCCTCTTGCCGGGCACACACCGGACAGCAGCCGCAGCCCGGCTCTCGCACAATCTCCGCGCACGGCTCTGTGATCATCGGGCAAGCCGCCTGGCGCTCTGCGGTGCAGCTCGGACAACGGAACACCATTTCTGATCCAGCGGCGCCGTGAAAAGTCACCAGTGCCAGGAGCAAGATGCAATTCACGTAAAACAACATCGTGTCCACGATGTAGAAACCCTGCAAATCGGAGGACTAAACTTGTGCAGGTAAGAAGTGCACGCGGACAGGTGAAGGCTAACTGGGGCTGCTGCGCGGGCTCCTATCAGTGTTCACATGCCGCTGACATCATAGGAGATGACAGGCGGGCTGCAGCTTTGTCAAACAAATCCTCAAAAGGACTACAGAGCCTTAATTAGGTCTGTATTGTGTTAGGCCTAGGTCCTGCATGCCTCAGTTTTAAAACAGATATTTTATAATACATATTTTTTTATCGTAACGTTTTGATGCATGTTGTTTAGACTTTCATAGCACTTTTATTTAACCTTAAATTGCAGCTGGAACAAGAAAGGATGCTTAGCTCCAACAGACGTTAAGAGAATTCCTGAGCTAAGCTAAACCAGCAGGGTCTTGATATATTAAACGGCTTAATTAAATGAAATTCTTGGTGAAAATTACCCTCAAGTGGAATTCAAGTTATTAAAGTTCTTTATTTTCAACTGGGGGAGCCTATCCTCCTCCAACAAGGCAAACACAGCAAATGTGTGAAATATTATCTCCACTATAAAAAAAAATCACAACATTTTTCCCTTTTGTCAAATCAACTTAGATTAGATAAATTGTGTGGTTCAGAACTATCTGTTGATTAAACCAAACTCCTTCATCTTCAACCCATTTTTTATTTTTTTTATTTCAATGAACTTCAAATTAAGGCAAGGTTACTGACTTTTTTAAGTCAAACTAAAAAATATTTTTTTACAGTTACATAATATGTGCAATACTGGACATGTGTATCGTATAGGACTACATTATGTATGATGAAATGATTAAATTTTAATGATTAATAATAAAACATTTTTTAGTCCTTTCTAAAACAACTAAAGTGGAGAGAGGCAGTGGTCAGTGAAGTGTCTCTCACTGTTCAGTCTGGGCTGTATAGTTTGCAGTAAGTATGGCGCAGCTAGCAACACAGTTATTGGGAATAAACAAATAAGTAAACTCATCTGTGTCGTTGTAGTCATGTCTACAGTCTCTGCACATATTAAAATCCATTGGCATTATCAGTGCTGTACCTTCTTGTACTTATAGGACTAGCCTACAAGCTGAATGTTGTTGCAATCTCTCAGTTGCATGCCTATTGATTACAGGGGCCAGGAGTCGAGGTATCATGCTTACCAACCAAACAACCATTAACTCGTCCAGAGCAAAGCCCACACTCTGTTCCCCTCTGAGACTAATCGTTGTTTATTTAAGGGTACAGAAATAGCTGCGCATGTGAGACCTATGGCTACAGTGGTTGTTGAAGATTTGGGATTCTTTTTCTTTTTGGGTGCCCTCTTATTTCATGGCATTTTATGTATTTGTGGCTGCCAGGCTTCCTTTTCGCCTTGGAGATTTTGATGGAGAAAGGTGACTTTTGATATGCCAGGTCTTGTGGGCGTCGTGATGAAGCAGGAGTGTTTAGAACCTTGTGTGTCATAAAAAAAGGAACTAGCTGGAGACTGGACCCACAGGCTCATAACCAGTGTCTGTGTACTAAGAGTTTGTGCAGCGTCTGGGTTTCTGTAGGATTTTGAGGGCTATAAGCCACAGTATCTCTAGTTGGTTAAGTGCAGTTCTCCATCAGGACATTTCTGAGTAAACAAGAGAGACAATTACACTAACGCCCTGAGGAACCTCTATACTGCATACTCCACTGTAGCAAATGAGAACCTTTAACTAAGATACAAGCACATAGAATCAGTATATTTAATCAGGTTCAGTGCAGAAACATCTATATTATTTTAATCTGTTTTAAATTTAAATATTGTGTATTGAAAACATTTTGAGAAACTTTTTTGTAGACTCTGGGGCTGAAATCGAAAAGGTCAGATATATGTGACTGCATTATGAGACTATTCAAATCTATTTTAAATTGCATATTGGATTCTGTAACACTAATGCGTACTTTGGAATATTGTTAGTGTTTGATTTCCAAGAAAAACAGAATGGTTGTTTAGTCAATGTGGACACACATATTTGCACATTAGCTACATGTCTACCATAAAAACAACAGTTACACAATCAGGTTGGTAGCTGTTTTTGCACTTTAAGCCATTGTAAAGATAGACATGTAAAGATAGTGCTTTCAATGAGATAAGAGCTCTAAACTAGTTTAGACTGTGACATCCAGCAGCGAGGGTGAACAATTGGACTACTTGCACTGAGCTTCGTGACACACTTCCGTTTTGAAACAGTAGGCCTACAACTATTTTATTTCCGGTTATGTATATTTTCAAAGTGTTTTAGTCTTCTACTTGACTAAACGCCACTTAAAATGAGTGTCGGCAATGAAGGTTTAAAAATCTGGACATTTTTAGAGACAGGATTCTGATGATAACTGTGAACAGAAACAGGATACAACAACTAATTTCTCTCACATTTTTAAGTCTTAAGGCACAATTGGTTTAACATTTCCGAGCAAATAAAAAGCTTACCTTCAAAATACAAGTTCTTGCTGTTTGTATTATAATGCATGTGAAAATAAACGCAGGAGGGCGCGCTTAGTTAAATATCCACTTGTTTGGTTACTTCGGGCCGCCGTACCTTTAGATCATATGACTGCTACCATCAGGATGTCAACAAACGTGAAAGGGAATTAAACTGAACTGAATATAATGACGGTTCAAAAACGGATATAACGTTATTTTCGTGGCTACGGCTCACGTGTTTGTTGAAATATAAGGTATGCTTTAGCGCATTTTATGAGAACAGAATGATATTACCTTAACATTATCGTTGGGGCACCAGGAAGAGCTGCCAGTTTTGTTTTCCGTTCACAAGGTTATAACGTAAGAGTCAGTGTTGAAGTTTAGTAAGTTAGCTATATTGTGATTGAAAATTTGCTAGGCTACATCTTAAAATATATAGTTAATGTCTAGACACCTGATTTTTTATACTCTGTTTAATAATATTAATAATATTTTGAATTGCTTTCTGACAGTTTATATATGACACTTATTGGCTGCATGTGTTAACGTTAGTTCACTGGTGTGACTGTGAGGAATTTTTGGTTGTGGAATCCCACCCTCTTTTCAGCTACATATGATTTCACAAGGGTCAAATTATTGTTGTATTACCCAAATTAATATCATGTCTTTTGTAGCAACTATGAATATTCAGATTAGAATAATTTCCCTTTTGCTTGTAACGATTTGGGTTGTTTCTGTTATGTTTCACTCTTTTTAGGATGACATCCACTCAGGCCCGTCAGTCAATGGTTGTTCACAGACTTGCCACATTGCTGCGAAATAATGGTATAGAATCAGTATTTCAATTTTATTTTTGTTTATTTTTGCAGTTTCACCAGGCCTAGTTCCAGGGAAAATAATTTGATGAGGGTGCAGTTAATACATTGGTGTAATCATGTATGAAAAATAGTACCATGTGACAGTGTGACAAGTAATATATTGATGCATTCAGAGGTATAAACTCATTATTAATCTTTTTTTTATTTATTTTTTATAAATCACACACAAACAAGATTTGTCTATGCATGCACACTGCAAGAACTGTTAGAAGTTGTCGGTCCACTGATCTATATTTTTTACTATTTTTGCAAGGTTTAGATTTGGATTGTTGGTAAATTAAGAATTAAATGCTATCCTCTTCATGTTGAAGACGTGGAGACAAAGCACTATATTCCTAATTTACAACTGCAGATTTAGAGACTGATATGCAGGACAATGCAGAATGATTAGATATGATTTTGTTTGCATTTTGACTGAGATATAATCGGTAAAATCCGATGACGCTTTTGCATTAGTTTGAGGGTGCTTGGTATGCTCAGGCTTTTCCTTTAAAGCTGCCAATTAGTTTCAATAAGGCGGTCATAACAATAAAGTTCTTGTTGGTCTCTGAATAGGTGACTCTGTGCTGGATGGTTCCAGTACTCTCACTCTGCAAGTGGGATGTTTACAACACCTGACACAACTCTTTGAGCGGCACCTTCTCTCACGCACACATCAGCATGGTTTTCTGGCCCTGCCGTCCCACCCAGCAGACACTGCCTCTCTGCTGGAAGTCCAGTTCCTCTTTGACATGCTGCAAAAGACAGTATCACTTAAGGTACTGAAGACTCTGATGATGCTTTTACATGTAAATGGAATTACAAACTTGTTAAGTGTACAGTTTGATGCTGATACTCTGAGGACATTTTACTCCAGATTAGTATTACTAGTAGTAAATCTTTTCTATTAAGATGTCTTAAGTGTCTTGACTGATCCTTATTTATGTCTTTTTTTTTATTTGTATTGAAATGCATCATAATTCTCCAATCCAATAGAATGAGTTGTCGTTGCAATGATCTGATCATTTGTGTCTGTAAAACAGCTTGTGAATCCACCTGGTGTGAAACTACAGTATGCTGTGAAAATCTTCCCTTTCAAATCCCTCAAATATTTAGAGGTATTTCAAAACAAACTAACCAAATTAATTCAGTTACATTTGTTGCATTATTCTGCATTATTGTTCTAAATAATTACTTTTTTCTTTGATTGTTTTTCTGTTCAGCTCAAGCGTATTCCTCCTCATTGTCTTGAGGGTCTCAGAGGAGTGTATTCTCAGCTGGAAGTCTTCACTTGCTCAAAAGGAGTCAGTTCTCTAGAGGTAATGTTTTCACCAACGGGCATTGGCACAGTGGCCATAAGTTTAACCATGTTCATATACAGAAAGTAATTGTGTGTGTGTGTGTGTGTGTGTGTGTGTGTGTGTGTGTGTGTTTAACAGGAGCTTCTCTCTCTATGTGGAGGAGATCTCAGCTCAGCTTTACCTTGGTTAGAACTTCATACCCTTAATTTCAGTTACAATTCCATTTCCCGTCTCGACGAGTCACTAGTAAGAATTTCCTTTTTTCTGTAGAGTATAGAGTTACTGATTTTTGGAATCTGTATGTAACAATTTTCTAAATTGTTTAGAGTCTGCTAAACGTCCTGAAGTGGCTTGACTTGAGCCACAACAAGCTCCATGATTGTGCTGAATTTTTAAAGGTAAATTGCTCTTGTTTACTTTTATTTTTTCTGTATTGGACAACTTTTTCACATTTCTTGCTCAGATTGAGTGAAAATCTGTGGATGCATAGGGGAAAAAAATATATGAAATGTAATACTAAACGCTTACTGGTGACTGAAAGCAAAATCAAATTAGCCAAAATAATAAACAGATGGGTAGACTTTTTGAAAGAGCTAAATTGCCCAAAATAACAATAGTGTGCATTTATTCATACTTTTTCTGTCTACATCAGTGATGGGCTACTAGTTCACACCCAATACAAATTAACGGGCAGGGCCCCATCACTTGGTTCAAGGGGGGCCCCCTAGGTTTGAGGTATGTTAAATGTTAGGATAGAGTGAATTTATTCATACCTTTTCTGTCTCCATCAAGCCTCTTACTGAACTGGAGCATCTGAATTTATCTTATAATAACCTCCAGAGAGCACCAACACTGGGCCTGAGCGCCCAAGCCAAACTCACCACCTTGATCCTTAGAAACAATGAACTGGAAACTATCAATGGTGAGTTTTCTGCTCATTTCCATGATGAACCACTTTGACTTTACCATCAATGGAAAGTAAATTGAAAAATGCATCTTTCTATCCTTTCATTCACCACGTTGGTTCTTTTACAGAACCTTTCTTCGCCATTCTTCATGCTTGTTTGTTCCTTTATTGATTTTACTGGATGCAATTTCTTTCAGATGTTAAGCTGTTGAAATTATTTTGAGTTTTCAGTTGACACATATTGGTTTTTTGAAATTGTTGAGAAGAATTTAAAAAGAAATTTCCTGAAACAAAACTCTGAAAATGTTATCTGAGTGTCAGCATCGGATTTAACAACTTAGTCTTTAATGAATACTTTAAAAAAAAAATGTAGTTAACATTCTGTTCAATGCACATTTGTTTTTACAGATATTTGTTTTTAAACACCTACAATTTGTCAGAGCTCCTGATTGCAAAAGATTCTGTTTATGTAATGCAATCATTTGTGTTTTGAATAGTTTAACAAAATGTGATTAGTTTGAATAAACAGTCAGTTTACTAAAATAAAGGTTTATCTAATTTAATGTAAAAAGTATTGTCCTAACTGCAGGGGTGGAGCACTTGTCTTCACTTCAGTGTCTTGACCTGGCTTATAACCTTCTTATGGAGCATTCTCAGCTGGCACCTCTGTCCCTCCTTCATAATCTCAATACAGTAAGTTAGACCCACCTTGCCTAGGTAATTCTTATCTTAAACTCCCATTTTTTTCCAGTTTTCCTTAAGTGTTTTACCCCAATCCCAAATTTTAGTCTCAAAAAGACTTTATGATTTTTATGATTTTAACAAGTTCCAACAGTCTAGAAAAGACACGTTTTAATACCAGTTTCCAGTTCAGCCAACTGGATATTATAGTCTCAATATGAATATTTCCCTCTGCTGCATGTGATGTATCTCTGACTATTTTGTCTTCCCCGTATAGCACCTTGACAGTTTTCTGATCTCTTTTCAGTTGACTTTGGAAGGAAACCCTTTGTATTTTCTGAAGACACACAGGGCATCAACTGTCTGCCACCTCTCACGAGCTTCTTTCAAAGTGAGTCTTTCCCTGATCTTCAAAGTCATTGTTTTAATTGCTCCTTTTCTCAAAACTGTATAGTAGAAGTTCATATGTTGTGGTATCAAAAGAGCAGAATTCCTCCAATGAATTTTTAGTGAATTAAATATGCAGTGTTGATTGTAGTCATGTTTACCATCGCAACCACAGGGAGGTGCCAGTTTCCCCTTTATTCCTGATGTAATTTATAGCAGTAAGATGTTTTCTTGAAGTTCTTTCTTGCTGTTCTGCAGATGTTTCAGAGTTGTAAGCTGACATTTTAATGTCTACTTGTGTTTCAGCTCCAGCTGGATGGCACCCCTCTGTCCCAGTCTGATCTGCTGGTGGGTATCAAATGTCATTTCATGTGCCATGTCAGGTCATTCCACCTTCTTTGTTTCTCATGTGATTCATGCTGAATTGTGGGAGGCAAATCTCCTTTTAATTTATAGTAGAATAGTGGGTTTACTTTCTCTGATCAAATGGAGTTTGTGAACTTTAAATGGCTGCAGGCATGGCCCAACAATCACAATAACACTTGATGTTAAATGAATTACATGTGATGACATTTTTTTTTTTCAAATATAAAATACTACCGTGGTGTTTTTAATTATTTATTTTTAAATCATCCACTGATATGCACTATATTTCATTTTCCACTGTACTGGTATGCACTATATATTACATCCACTATATTTTTCAGGGAGTGTGTATTTTATTAATAGTAACACTCAAACAGCCCATTCAAAAGCCAAGGAAGGCATACAGGCATGAAAGAAGTAGGCACACAGAATTGCTGTCAAGTCAGGAATATTTTTATTGTGGAGAAAACAAATTGCAATTATAGCTGTTGATTAAATTTGCTTTATAATATTTAAAATGGGACCTATTATGCCCTTTTTTAAAGTCTTGATATAATAGAATAGGTTTTCCTATTTGAATGTTCAAAAACCACATTATTTTCCATTTATTTTTCATTGTTGCTGCACCTCTCTTCCCAGTCTGTTTGCAACACTGTTTAGTTCCGGTCTCTATGAAGCCCCTCCTTCCTTATCTGTACCAATGTGTTGTGATTGTTCAACCGCTTCGATTGGTCTACTTGTTTCGGAAATGTCACACCTTTACCAACTTTTCTTCCACGTTGACATAGAAAGGAATTTGCACCAGCATGATGTCCTTTTCAATGGCACCAAAGTCTTGAAAACATTGGTAAAATGTAAAAGAATTGCTTATTTTTTATAGGAATGTTGACATTTTTAAAATTCAAGATAATTTGTGTTAAATTGATCTTATTGATCCCCCCCACCAACACCTTCTTGACAATGATGCAGGCCAAAGATGTGATAGCGACACCCAGTGTCCATACAGTATAATGGATTTCTTTTTTCTTTTCTTTTTTTTTACAATAACAGGCAAAATAATTGTTTACTTTTAAAATGTCTTGCAGGCCAGCACGGATTATGGTTAGGAACACCTATGTATTAGATGCACCGATCCTATGATTTCTAGGAACTAAATAATAAGTGCTATCCATCAAAAAAAAAAAAAAAAAAAAATTACATTGAAAAAACAAATCTAGCATGAAAAATGTGACCCCCTTTAAAGTGGATGTTTTTATACAGCTGTCTCATAATTTTCTCAACATATTTATATCACAATTTGATATCAAATTTATTGTAATTAATTGTAATAAATAAAAAGTAGTAAACTAAATTGAATTACCAAAAATATAATATTTAGCTGTGCTGGACACATCTCTGTTAGCACTTGATTACAAGCAATTTTGATTAGCCTACAAGTAACTTATTTTGGTAACTTCATATTATGGTATTTTAAAGGTTCCTAATTTAGTTTCTTCTACAATTGGTTTACATGCACCTCCTTTCTGAGAGCCTCCTTTGCTCTGATTGGTCAGATGGATCAGTCTGTTGTGATTGGTCTACCACTTATAGTGTGTCGGAAACAAAATGTCCATTACCATATCTAAATTTCAGCTCTAGAGGCTTCCTCAGCACTTGTATACTCGGTGATACAAACAGTAATGATGGCGTTACTGTGTCCATTCGAGCACGAGTTCTCATCCTTTGGAAGGTGGATTTGCTTTCACAGTGCAGAAAACAGCATCTTCCCAACATATCAACCACACAAACCAAACTCTTTCAGGCCTCAGCTACAACTGCAGTGTTTGAGGCCGGGTCAAAGTAGTCATTGTTCACTGGCAGCCAATGAAGACCATAGGCTGGCATTATGCAAATTTGTTACAAACCTACGTAGGTTCATGCAGGAATTTAAGACTGGAATTACAGGCAGTGCAGAATCGGTTCTCTCTTTTGGGAGAAAGTAATTTCTTTTATTGTGCATTTTGATCTTTGAAACTTTGCAGATGTCTTACATTCACAAACATCTACTATTACACACTACATGATAGGTAAAATCCGAAAAAGCATAATAGGGACACTTTAATAAACATTTTCATACAGTTTGTTATTTCCAAACTCAATCTTTAACCCTATCACCCAGGTTAATAAAACAATTTAACAAGTTTATAAATAACAAATAACAAACCAGCATTTGCTTCAAAATCTACCCCCCACTGAGTATTTATTGCTAGAATATAAAAAAAAATACACAAATACATACTGATATTGTAGTTGCCTTTTAAAATGTATTCTGTAATATTGTCTTATTGACCAACAATCTATTGTTTTTATTCTGTGGCTTTTGTGACATGATTTTTTTTTTTTTTTTTTTCACAGAACTTGCCTAAATCCGGACAACTGGCTGGTCAGATGTCCCACACTTCTCAACATGTTTCTGTGGTACCTGACCAAGGAGGGCAGGAAGTGTCCAGTGGAGGTGGGGACATTACTGACAGTGTGACTATAAGCATATCAGGAGTGACCCGAGTTCGAAAGAGGAAACACAAAGTAAGTCCATGTCTAAAATCTCCCCAATGTTTTTGTGGTAAACTGATTTTAAAATGAGCAGGCACAACGAACATGATTCCTCATGGAGAACATGAAGCTGCCATTACAATTTTAGTAAGATAAGTTCTGATGTATGATGCAAAGCACAACTTTTTGCCATTTGCAGAGTAAGGTGAAGGTGAGGAGAGCCAGTATCTCAGAGCCCAGTGACACAGACCATGAGATCAGAGTGCAGTCTGCTTTACAAGGTGATGAACAAATGACTTGACAAACGTTAACTCTTCATAGGGCATTTTAAAATTGACTGTCTTTTCAGTGATCATGTTAATTAACATTTAAAAATTAATTGATGAGTTTTTGCTTTTATTAAGCATATGTTATATGAGTGTCTTTCTCATGTGAAATGTTTGGTTCTCTTCAGATATTGTCCTCCCCCATAAGAAGGACATTGAGAGAATGGACAGTTTTCGAGAGCAGTTAGGGGAGGACTGGCTACGCTATCAGCATCATCTTGATGATACTCCAGTCAACCCAGCTTTCCCAGGAGTAGAAAGTGTAACCATTAAAGTGAACACCAATGGTTGCAGTACACCTCCATCTCCCCTGCTTAACACACCTCCAACCAGTCTGGAGTTGCTCCCCCCTCCGCTGCTGTCCTCTGAACTGAAAGAGGAAGAGGACAAAGAAGAGATTGAGAGCACAGACTTGCAGCCTGAGACCGAGTCTACCCTGCAGTGGACAGGGCAAAGCCTCCCGAACACTGAATCTACTCTTGAGACAAGTCTAGGAAACACCCAGGCTCCAACTGAGGCCTACTCTGACCCACAACCACCACCAGAGGAAGATGACGATGATAGGGGAGGTCTGTCTATTCTTTTCTAGGGATGCATTGATAGTGATAACTATACTGGCCAGATACTTACTTATATTTATACTGTGATTGTACCATCCAATATAAATTTTCACTAGCGTTACAGTTGTTCAGCAGTAGTCTAGCTTAATTTCTATGTACAGTACGTCATTGGAAAGTTTCATTCATTCATTCGTTCATTCACGCTTCTGTTCGACAGTTTGGAGTCGGTAAGATATTGAATGTTTTTGAAAGAAATTCTCACCAAGGCGGCTGCATTTATTTGAAAACAAATACAGTAAAAACAGTACAATTGTAAACTACTATTACAATTTAAATTAAAGCTGCAGTCTGTAACTTTTTTGGGTTAAAAATTATCCAAAATAAATGTTTGAGCAAGAACATAACCAGCCAGTGTTCAAAACTATCTGCTTGCCTTAGGTCGATTCTAAACGGTAAGCTTGTAATAATGTTTTTAATTCCAGTGGTCCTGGTGGATTTCCGCGGGAGATTCGAGCATGTCTTTGCGTCATTACGTCACACATTAAGAAGGAGTCTCGGCTAGTAGGCTATATTGCGTGTGAGGATGCTGGAGGTGGAGATGTATAGCCTTTTCTCACAGCACTTGATATAATTAAACTTATTAATTTGATGGCGGATCCAGAAAGGTTCAAACGACAATCACCAGTGAGAACTGGAGACTCACCCTCGGACTTCGGAGTAGCTACAGAAAAAAAGAGACTGCAACCGGTCTTATGCGAAAACAAGGATAAATATCGGAAGGGCATTAAATGTAGTCACGATGATGTTGTTAAACATTAAAGGGATACTTCACCTCTAGAAAGATGAATGTGTATTTAAAATGGGTCATTTATGTAGAAGAAATATGAAATTATTTTTGAATTTTGAGCTTTCTAGACTGAGAAAAACCAGAAAATGTATTTTTGGCTTATGTGGATGAAAGACAACAACTCCCAGATTGCACTTGCTTCGCTGCCCTAGGAGGCCACGCATACCGGTAACAGAGCGCAGTAGTTAAACAACAAGTCTAGGCTACTAGTGAGTCTCCGTGATGAGTCTGCCCGAAAATGTGTTTCGAGATCGCCCATAATGTCTGGGATTCGGCTTTTGCGTTCTACAGTCGCCATTCATTATGTTTACTGTGGCGAGCAGGACGAGGCTAGGGCCGCGGGAGAACGGCGCGAGACCGGTGGCGTGATTACCGATGAGCGACACCTGTGAGACGCACCGGTCTCGTATCTCTCACGGAGGAGCGGGAATTTTCTTAGCAATGTTAAAACGCACATCAACAGATCACTTGTTTAGAGTTCGTGTAAACACTACATTCAGATTCACCAATCGGAATGAATTCAGTTAGATTGAAACAAAAGGTGTGCATGTAAACAATGAATGGCGACTGCAGAAAGCAAAAGCTGAATCCCGGACATCGACGGCCGGACATGTCCGGGAAAAAGAGGATGGTAACCCCTACTACTCAGCTTTCTCCACAGAACAAGAGTCTGCTAGCTTAGCTTCCAAAAAAAGATGGCTGACTATGTGTACATTCTGTGAGTGAGATCCCACCCTCTATGGGCGGGTTGAAAACAATCGGGACAGCCCCTACTACTGACTGTAGTCTTTAGCCTCTGGCCAAAAAATCCGCAAATGTTATCAAATGTTTTTTGATAACATTTGCGTCATCTGAGGATTTTTTCCAGACAAAAAATACATAAATCTCTCATCTCAGGGGGATATGAGGGTGGAAAGCATGGTAATTCGAAAATACTACAGGTTTTCTACTAATACAAAGCTTAAAGCTACACTGTGTGATTTTTACCCCCATCTAGCGGTGAAAGGGTATATGACCATCCAGTGAATATTAGTTTCTGTTCCTCTCAATTACGATTTCGTTTTAACTACTACGGTGGCCAATGTAGTCCAAGATTAACATGGCTTCCAGTTCGACCTCGTCCATGAGTGTTCCTTCAAATGATGAGGTTATTTTAGAAAACTATTATAATTTGCAGTAATTTAATTTGTCAGGTAACATGACATCTATGTAAAATGAATAGGCCTAATAGTTTTATGTTTTCGTTATTTTTTTTACCATTTCATTGCTAACATCAGTTATCAGGTTCCCAGACGAATGCAAGCTAATCTTAGTAAAGTAACTTTTATCATTGCTTCGCGAAAGGCGAAGCTTGAATTAACGGGTATGTCCCTCTTTGGCTAATGTACTTTCGAGATGGAGGGGCAACATGGCGACCGACATTAGAACCCCTTACCCGTATGTATTTTCAATGGCATATTATACACTCACGAGAATACTTTATTACTTGAACGAAGTAAATATACATTAATGAGCACATATATTTTTGAAAGAACTAAGTGTTTTTAGCTAAGAGTAAACTAAAAAAGTTACACAGTGTAGCTTTAATGCTAAATCCTGAAGTATCCCTTTAACAGTTTGAGAACAAAGTATAATTTGCACGGATTGACGTGATATAATAAGTGATCGTTAGATTTAATCAGTGCGATTTACTGCAATGCTTTTTTTTCCCTTAGTTGGTGGAATGTAGATGTTACTTACTTGTTCAGATGACATTTTTCGGTAAAAATGATTATGTTGGTCATACTTCCAAAAAGTAGAATCTGTGATTCCAAATGACAGTATCCACACCGGCGCGGAGACTGACTGCCGCACATTCTCCTCACAACATTGTGCATCAGCACAGCGCAGATGAATCCAATCCACGTAAAGTTCATAATTCGCCTTTGGCTAAGCCACACCCTAGAATGTAGATTGACCAATCACAGCGCAGCCAAGAACGAGCTCCCACAGAGGTCCGACACTTTTTCACAGCTCTCCATTGACTTTAACACAGGCGTCTCATATTTTTGGTCTCGGCAGGCTATTACCGTCGTAGTTTTATCAAAAATATGGTTAAACGTTGTGCCTGGGGCATTTGTAACACAGATACGCGTTTCCCAGAGAGGTTGGAGGGGGGTGTCCGTGTTTTTCCCTTCCCAAAACCGAAGTCAAATCCTGACAAGTGTCGTCTAGCACACGCTGCTAATAAATACAACATTATACTCGCGTAGTCCGTTTGCTTTGTAATAACGATTATAGAAGTGAATAGAGACCTACCCAGCTTTGCATGAACAGTGTTGCTCCTTGATATTGTTAGTCCCAGCCTCCGTCTCGATTAGTAGGATATGCGGTGGTTATTTTTTTGACTGTGACCAGTATGCTTTTGCCTCTATTTGGATGCCTTGTTGTTCCTTGCGTTTTACCTGTATGTCCTGAATATAGCCTTCGAACGTATATTGCAGCCCCTTTTGCCTACTTCTATCGGACACTTTATTTGCTGCTTTATAGTTTGATAAAATTTCAGCAGGAAGAGCTGTCACAGCATAAGCCATGTTGATACCAGAGCCCAGATGAAGTTTGTTTGTCGGACGTAGCAACAATAACTAAGGGGGGCGGGGCTTAGCCAAAGGCGAATTCTGTGAATAATTGCAATTGCAGATTTCGAACAGAGATGGTGACAAAGAGGAAAAACTACGGACTGCAGCTGTTTTTTATTAAAATATATTTTACAGTATTATTTATTTATCCGGTTATAAAGCTGAATTTTCAGCAGCCATTACACCAATCTTCAGTGTGATCCTTTACAATTCATTCAAGCATGCTGATTTGGTGCTAAAGTTACATTGCCTATTAATATCAATAATGAAATATTATGATTTGTGGAAACTGTCATAAATTAGGATTCTTTGATGCTTGAAGTTCAAAAGAACAGCATTAATTTGAATCGGAAATATTTTATAACATGTTAAATGCATCCTTGCTGATCAAAAGGTTTAGGCCTACTTTCTTTACAAAACAAGAAACAAAAGTTTGGAGCTACTTTATTACTGTAAATATTGATTTTATGCATTTATACTGTCAAAGGCCAAAACCAAATGGTTCTTGTACTCACCTAAAAAAATCTTGTCATGATACACTTTTTTTATATAATTTCATGGTTCCGGTTGAATAAAAGAACAACCATTGAAGGACCTGTCTAGTTTATGTCCAGAGCTCTTTTTCACTCTTGCACTTTGTTTAACAGTGGACCTATGCAGGCCAATGCTGGTGGGGCTGCTGTCAGAGGATGTGGAGACAAATCGGAAAAGGGCCTCTGAACCACTCTTCCTGCGAGTGTGGCAGGGTCACCTGCTGGAGGTAGACATGCACCAGGGGTGTGTTAAAACACGAGTGGAGCTTGACAGTTTGCGAGATGTTGTAACCACTGAGGCTACGTGCACTGTAGAGGTAAGATGACATATTTTCTGTTCATAAAGGTCTATAAGTTGATTATAATTCTGCAGTTTTTTTTTTCTCTGTTTTACATTCTCTTTTTAAATCTTACAGAAGGTTGAGAGGACTCACCCAGCCCTGGAGCTCCACTTCCGGTACATTAGTCGTGAGAGACGTAAACGTTGTTATATAATGTTGGATGACAAGCCACAGGAAGCATTGGAGGTAAGGAGGTGCATTCAATATTAGACAATCAGACATAATCAACCAGTACTTGGAATTCAATCCTAAATTGACGACAGATATTACAAGTAGGGGTGCACCAATCGATCATCATATTTAATAATCACTTTAAAACTATGATCACTTTTGCTTACTTTAATTAGTGTCCTGTGGCCGTCATCTTAGCAGCTATAGCTCAGACATCATTTATTTTCATTGCACAGGTCCTGTTGTCGCAAATATTTGCTCCCACTGAGATTTACTTTAGTAGAAACAGTAACAGTATTACTAGAACTGCTAAATAATTGTGTGATACGTTGGGATATTGCTTTGCCCTATTCTTTTTTGAACTGTTGATATAGAAAATGTATATCCTGCAACTTATTAGTCAAATCGGCTTGCAAATGAATGGCATGATAATTGAAGAATTCTACAAGTGGAAATTAATTTACAGATATCAAGAATAATTGTTTTTACTAGAAAAACGAATTATTTTTTTAACTATCAAAAAAGATGATTTTTGTTATTAATTATGTGATTTTCGATATACAGAATTTGTGGTGTTACTAGTTGAAATGTTTTTTTATTTTTTTATTAAGAATGATAATTTAACTAGTGGAAATTGATTTGTTGATATCTATAATTCAAATCCTGCAAATGAATAAATGTAAAAACTGCATGCCATAGATGGCAGAGTCGGATTCTCTTTTGCCTTCTTTCAGACAGACCAAAATCTAATGACTTCCAAGTGTGCAACGTGCGATTACTGTAGCCTTGCGAAAGTCATGCATTTGACCTCACCTTTACCTTGCTCTGCAAATGGCAACAAGTTGAGCTTTGCATCATACATCAGAACTTATCTTGTTAAATTATAGGTTTACTATTTCTAGCTTGTGTTTTGCTATTATTTTGTGGTTAAATTACCACTTATGCATAAAAAATGGCTAATTATGCAAGAAGCTTTTGCAATTGCATTCCACCATAGCGAAATTATGAAAAACTGGAGGGACTGATATTTGCTGCAACCTCAGTTGTGGCAGTCAGATGGTTTGGAACAATAGAGACAGTTTGCTGTCTTAATTAGTGGGTTGCATTACAACAAAATGTTAATATGGTAAACAAAACATTGATTCTAATGGTTACTGGAGCATTTTTAGAGCTTGTAATGGAAATGTGACTCTTTATCACTGCTGCTGGTGATCATATTGAGTTCACTGGTTGCCAGTATGTCTGAATGATTATGATAGTGATAGTGACTACAAAACTGTTCATAGCTCTTATCAAAGCTGCAGTCCGTAGCTTTTTTAGGTTAAAAATTATCCAAAATATTTTTAGCAAATACATAACAATCCACTGTTCAAAACTATCTGCTTGCCTTAGCTTGATTCAAAACGGTAAGCTTGTAATAATGTTTTTAATTCCAGTGGTACTGGTGGATTTCCGCGGGAAATTCAAGCATGTCTTTGCGTCATTATGTCACATCTGTACACATAAAGAAGGAGTCTCGGCTAGTAGGCTATATTGAGTGTGAGGATGCTGGAGGTGGAGATTGATAGCCTTTTCTCACAGCACTTTATATAATTAAACTTATCAATTTGATGGCGGACCCATAAAGGTTCAAACGACAATCACCAGTGACAACTGGAGATTCACCCGTTGTAAAATGCAAAAGACTTTGTTCGGACTTCGGAGTGGCTACAGAAAAAAAGCGACCCTTAGTCTTTTTCCCTTAGTTGGTCAGTACCAGAACAAAAGTGGATGTTACTTACTTGTTTAGATGACATTTTCCGGTGAAAATTATTATGTTGGTCATACTTCCAAAAAGTATAATCTTTGATTCTGAATGCCAGTATCTACACCGCGCGGTGACTGACAGCCGCACACTCACCCCAAACATTGGATTCATCTACGCTGTGCCGTGCCGAGGCACAACTCACATAATGTTGATAATTCCGCAAATAACTGCAATTTCAGATTTCGAACAGAGATGGCGCCAAAGAGGACAAACTGCGGACTGCACCTTTAATTAAATGTATAGTACATTTTAATGCAGCCTATTTGCTTTAAAAGTGTAGTTTTAAACGGGACCTATTATGCTTTCCACAAGATGTAATATAAGTCCCTGGTGTCCCCAGAATGTGTCTGTGAAGTTTCAGCTCAAAATACCCCACATATCATTTATTATAGCTTTTCAAATTTGCCCCTATTTGGGTGTGAGCAAAAACACGTCGTTGTCTTTTCAAATGCAAATGAGCTGCTGCTCCTTGCCACCTTTCCAGAAGAGGATAAAGATACTCAGGCAACAACAAAACTGGAGAATGTCACGCAGCTAAAATGTCAGAAATTGTCAGTAGCGGTGTTCAGCCTTACATGTTTGAACTGGACACTGATGAAGAGACTCAGGAAGAAGTTACAACTTTTAAAATGCAACTGGACATTTCTGAATGGTTAGTGGATACATTTATGTAGCTGTTGTGGAGTTCAGTTCACTCATCGACTAGCATGTACCATCATGTTTCTCTAAAAATCTTTCAGAAACAACTTTTGTGCAAATCCAACATTGAACAACTGACCCTCGTTTAGGAAGCAGTCCGGCGTGATTGAAATTTTTTGCGCAGATAACGACTTTTTTCGGCACATTTCCTTCATAAATGAAATTCAACCATGGTGTCCTCAGTGGCTCAGATGCTGGGAGTCTATGAAGACTCTTATGTTCATTGATATATCCAATAACAACATTTGTAATGTTTTTTTATTTGGCGCAGATATTGTATATCTCCAGCTGCGACAGCGAGGAAACAGAAATGGCGGACTGCTGCGGCTCACTCAGGGTGGTATCTATGCTAATAGGGCAGATCATCACTAGTCATAGGCGGGGATTCTGGAACCACTCGTTTGGAGAGACTGTTTATGATTTATGAGGATTATAAAAAAAAGGGAGTGGATGGATTTTTAATATTATAGGCTGGTTGTTTTCACACACTGTGACACACATCTGTGTTTGAAACACCTTTTAAAAGTGAATTTTGCATAAAAGGTCCCCTTTAAGATTAAATGCTGGTTATTGGTATCTGTCGATCTTGGTGTTAAAATATCAGTGATCGGTATTGGCCTCAAATTTTCAGATTGGTCCACCATAAGCTGTGTGATTGGCTATTTCACAACCTGTGTAACCTGAGCCTTTGCAATATTTGAAATGGTTGATTTTACCAAATCTACATCTGACAACAACGTGTTCATCTTAAGTCTTTTTTTGACACATTCCCACAAAATAACATGCGTGGAACTTTAAAATTTAAAGCAACGTGATGTTACCTAATTTACCTTATATTATCCTGTTTTTTGACTGGTTTTGATGAGAATTTTGAATCCTCAGGTATTAGCAGAGGTTCTCTCGAGAGTCGTGGAGGAAAACAAGCAGCAAGTGGATGAGGAGAGACCAGAAACAGTTTGGCTACAGTGCCTGAAGTGTCAAGCTGAGTTCTGCCAGCCAGCCACTGAGTCAGACAACAGCCTGAGCCATCTGGATGAGCTAAGGAATGACAGTAAGGATATGGTCCTAAAAATCAAAAAGAGCAATTTTCTTTTTCTTTTCATGATCAAGGCCTTTGATGGATAGGCGGACCTATACTCCTGCCAGAACATTCCAGGGAGCGGCTCAAACACATGCACCTCTCAACAAACATCTTACTAGTACTGTATTACAACAATTACAATAAAAAAAGCATGAATCTGACTTACCATAAGTGGGTGATCATCTTGTTGGAGCATGACAGAACCTGGCTAAAATGTCTCACTAAAGAATTTCATGAATACAGAATGGTAGCCAAGCACTGGGTGTGAGCGCTTTTTATCTTGGGACTCCATCAGGCAGCCAATAATTTTATCATATGACCCATTTTCTGAATAACCCACTTAATAGACTTTTACTTTTTTCCACTGTTACATCTTGCAGGCCATTTTTCTTTTAATGACTGGTTTGAAACACAGTTTATCCTCCTCTGTAGCACTGTGTAGTTTTAAAACATGCAAACCAGAGGTTCTAGGACATTTGTTCAGCTGCTTTCAGTCTGTTTGCTTGGCGTCCTGCAGATCATCTGGGTCAAACACATAGTTGATTCTGCATGGGGGCAGAGATCAGTGAAGGTGTTTATTTTAAAAGCATTAACATTCTTAAAATACATCTGAAGGAAAGCATGTTAAACACTCTGTGTACATCTCTTTGATTTTCTTTTCTGCCATAATTTAAAACCTAAACTATATTATATGGACAGGATATCTCATGAGGATTTATCTTTGTATACCTTATTTTTATTATATATTATGTATTTTTTATGTGATTTATTTTTATTTTTATTATTATTATTTTCAACAGGTTGTACTGTCATCTGCTCAGAGTGCAATAGCGATCATGTGGTTCAGTTGGCTGTCCAATTAGCTCCTTCCACCAGTACACCATTGGAACAGAATGATGCCAGATACTTTACATTTGATGACAGGGACAACCCTGTCCTTCCCCTTCGCAACAAGGTCTGGGTTTGTATGGTCTTTTGGCTTGATCTATCCATGACAGTTCTCCATTACTATTCTCTTTTGACTTACTTGACTAGCTTCATTCCTGTAGGCATTGGTCCCAGGACAGTCTTTGCTATCCCGTGGCAGCCCCCTCCATTTGACTCAGCATTCAGAGGCCTCCACAGAGGGAGCCACAGCTTACTTTCATACAGCCCATAGCTTCCTGTCCAATTCTTTGACCAGTCAGAATGAGGCATGCGTTGACCAGAGAACCTCTCAACTAATCAACTTCAGCACTATGGATGGACAGGTGCAGGGTAGCTCAGAGGGGTTTAAAGAGAAGGTGGCTGACAACTCCTGCTACAATGGCTATCAAAAACATCAGGACCAACAGTCATCAGAAGGATACAGCAATGGTAGGTGGTCCACTCTGGGGATGAAGAGCAGTAGGGTGGTTAGAAAAATAAAGAAACTAAAGAAGATGAAACTACCCTGGAAAAAGACAGATTCACATTTTTATTTGAAATAACACAAAACATTGTAATTATTGGGCCTAGGCCTGTTTTAGGAATGGCATTTGAATTGCATAGAACTGAAAAAAAACGAACAAGTCTTAAAATATCTTAAATTCAGTTTGATCAAATTTAAGGTCATAGAAAGTCTTAAAAGGTATAACAATAATCTTAATTAACATTTGTTTAATTAAATAATTATCATCTTTAAATTGTGGGTGGAAAAACAGCAATCGTGATACGTCCTAATGTGATTATTAAACTCCACTATTAAACAAAAGGCAATTATGTGCTGTTTTGTCATAGGAAGGAAAACTAAAATGTCATTTAACACGTTAATTAAATGTGTATTTTACTAGAACTTTTAAAAAATCTGGTTGACTTGACTTTCTTTAAACATTATCGAATCAGCAAAAACCTATATCGATTGACCTCTAATTCAAATGTATTGATACAATAGTGCCACCATCTTCAGTACGTATTGAATAAATCATGTCTTAAGTATTTTAAACTTGCAGTTACCTGTTTTGCATTTGAATGTGTCCTGCAGCCTATTTAGTTAAGTTAAAACATGCTCTTTTGTGATTGCATGGGTTTGTTCCGTATGGATGTACAGAATTAATTTTATTTGTGCAGGTCTTAAAATTACATTTGATTTACTTTACTTGCATTTGATTTTAAAAACTCTGCATATACCCTAATTTAAAGTCTTTGTCCAAACTGTGTGCTTTTTAAACATGACAAACTATAGAGAGAATAAGTAAATTTTTCTCTTGTATTTGTAGATGTGACACACTAAATTGGTACCAGACAATAAAGCCTAATGAATACCCAATATGGCAGACCTTTCTGGCCATAAACCAGTGTATATATATAGCTATAATTACAGATATTATATTGATATTACAGGTATGTTGTCATATTTTGATGTTTTCTAGCACAATAGCCTTTACCTTTTTATTCCATTGAGGGATTTAATCATAATTCTTTTCATTGTAGGTCAGTTTGACCTGCTGTCAGAGACAGTAGACCATCGGCTCCAGCTTTTCCTGGATGTGGATGTGTTTGGGGGAGAAGAGGAGCTTCGCTGCTTTTTAAAGGCAAGATAACCTGTTTACTATGCCCTTATGAACATGAACTGAAAAAATAGACTTGGGAATAGTGCAAGACAAACAAATGCAACCAAGTAGCCATGTTAGATCCTTTATTCATGAAGGTAAATTTATGCTACTTTATTGCTACATTTCTCACAGTCCACATTCCACCATATCATATGTTAGTTCACATGCTGGCTAAAGTCTTTATTGTGAACTATGAATTTCTCAGTGTAGTTTCATAATTTTACTGGTATCCTGCACTCTAAATATATTCAAACTTGCCCGTTTGGCCCCTTATGGGTGCCCTCTGCCTTAGCCACCTGGTTTTCTCCAAAGAAACCATTGATTTGATACTCTCTTCACACCAGCCTTTTGCTCTCTCACAGTTTAGAGACTGTATTTCCCTTTGTTAATTTCAAATTCCAAAGTGCTGGTAATGCTTAAAATACGATCATTTCACCTCTAATGCACTCCAGCAAACTACTTAATTGCATTCTTTTGTATTTATTCCAAACATTTACATTTACATTTAGTCATTTAGCAGACGCTTTTATCCAAAGCGACTTACAACCGAGGATTAAACCAAGCGAGTCATCATAAAGAGGCAAAAACAACGCAAGAAGTGCTCAAAATACAAAGTTCAGACATTGCTCGGAGTAGCATAAGCCAGACAAGCGAGGATTTAAAGGAAAAGGAAAGATTTTTTTTTTTTTTTTTTAGGTTAAGTGCCCTCGGAAGAGATGAGTTTTCAGTTGTCTTTTGAATGCTGTCAGGGATTCTGCATTCCGGATGAGGGTGGGCAGATCATTCCACCAGCATGGTACCGTGAATGAGAATGTTCTGGAGAGTGATTTTGAGGCTCTCTGTGATGGTACCACGAGCCGTCGCTCATTGACCGATCGTAGGCTTCTGGTAGGGATGTAGACTTGTAGTAGTGAGTGGAAGTAGGAGGGAGCTGAGCCTGTGGTCAATCTGTAAGCAAGTGTCAACACCTTGAACTTGATGCGAGCAGCGAGTGGTAGCCAGTGCAGAGAGATGAACAGAGGAGTGACGTGGGCCCTTTTGGGATCGTTGAAGACAAGACGAGCTGCAGCATTCTGGATCATTTGTAGAGGTTTAGTTGCACATGATGGAAGTCCAGCCAGAAGAGCATTGCAGTAATCAAGCCTAGAAATGACCAGGGCCTGGACGAGAAGTTGTGTTGCATGCTCAGTTAGGAAAGGCCTGATCTTCCTGATGTTGTGCATAGCAAACCTGCATGATCGAGCTGTCTTTGTAATGTGGTCTGTGAAGGTCAGCTGATCATCAAAGATTACTCCAAGATTTCTGACCGACCTTGATTGGGTGATTGAGGATGAATCTAGCTGGATAGTGAAGTCGTGCTGTAGAGACGGATTGGCAGGGTGGATGAGAAGCTCAGTCTTTGCCAGATTGAGCTGCAGGTGCTGTTCCTTCATCCATTCCAAGATATCCGCCAGACAGCTTGAGATCCGTGCAGCTACTGTGGTCAGTTGATGTGCTTTGGATACCTCACCTCTCCATGTGACCCTGAAGGAACTACCTGTGAGATAGGACTCAAACCAATGGAGGGAAGTTCCAGTGATGCCCAGTGATGAGAGGGTGGACAGAAGGATCTGATGATTCACAGTGTCGAAGGCAGCAGACAGATCCAGGAGGATGAGAACTGATGATTTGGAAGCAGCTTTTGCGATCCGCAGGGCTTCTGTGACCGACAGCAATGCGGTCTTGCTTGAATGCCCTTTCTTGAAGCCAGATTGGTTGACATCCAGCTGGTTGTTCAGAGACAGGAAAGATGATACTTGGTTGAAAGCAACTCGTTCAAGTGTTTTCGCAATGAATGGTAGGAGAGAGACAGGTCTGTAATCCACTAAAAGTGATGTGTTTAACGTCACTTTTACGTTCACGCCAAACAGGCTTGAAATGTTTTTAGTCATGATTACAAGTGTTTGAAATAAATTTTGCATTTCTAAGTGTTTCATTCAGCATTTTTGAGAAGCTGTAATAATTTGTATTAACCTTTTTTGTTGTTTCACTTGATTTTAGATGTCCATTGTGAAGTTTGGAGATGCAGTGGAGTTCCATTCCCTCATGGTTGTGTCAGACCAGTACATCTACATCTTAGAAATCACCTCACAATCTGAGTAAGCAACTTCTGTTAACTTCTTGAAAGTTCAACTAACTATTGTTCACTACATAAAACACCTACTTAAAAGTTGATTTTAGTCTAGAAAAAACCCCCCACAAATTATTTCCTTATTATGTTATAGTGAGTTTTATGTGTAAGCGGGGTAAATGTAATTGCTACAATATCCAATCCACTCCACCTAATCAGTATTCTCAGCATACATTAGTGCCAAATTGGGTTTTATTTATATACATTGAAGCAAGTTCACATAAGAAGGCTGTATTTCTGTATGTCACCATGGCCTTGTTGCACAGGTAATCACAGCCATGCTGGAAAAACAGCATGATTGCAAATGTATAATGAACTGTTGTATGACAGCAACAAGAAGAGTAGTCTGGAGAAAAAGAATCACTGGGACTTTTGTGTTTTTCTGACAGGCTGTCAGTCTGTGTATTAGTGGTGTGGATTTTTCAATGTTGTTGGACTGTTATATCAGCACTCTCAGCTTACATAGAAAATAAGATGGAAAAAAGATGCGTGCTGAGTGTCATGACCACAGACTGTAAAAAAGATGAACAACACATCTCAGCTTTCTTCCACTGTAGAAAAATGAAGTCAAAATATCCGCAGTATCAAGATCCTGCCCACACGCTCCTGCTCCCGCAGCCTCAATCGCAAGAACAGCAGTCAATCATGACGTTACACCACATTTTTATAGTATCAAATAACAAACTAAAACTAAACTTACGTGAACATACATCTGTGTGATAAGTGGATTTTTTTATTTGACTCGTTTTCAATTACATGGAGAGGGTGGGGTTTATGACTTATACTGCAGCCAGCCACCAGGGGGCGATCAAAATACTTTGGATTCACTTTATAGGATGTGTACGGCACACTTGGTCATGACAATGAAAAAGCAGCACTGACGCAGCATTTTAGAAGAAGCAAAAAACCTTAATGTACCTAACACTTGAGATCGTAAATGTCTGGTGGATGACACAGATTGTCCTAAAAGTTGAACACACAGTTTTGTGACATGTCAGCTTGAACAAGATTGAAGCTTGAACAAGTTCAGTTTGTACTGCTGCACTGTTTTTCATACACCAAACTTCAAACTCATCAACTTGTTCTTTCTTGAAAATTTTTACCTTTTACCATCATAGCGATACATTCAGTTTTGAATGCAAGTACATAATCAGGTGTCTGGCATTTGAGACTTGTGCATTGTCACACCCTCTACACAATGCTGCGCGGGGCTTCTTGTCCAGTGTGTGACCGGCTTAACACTATGTTTGCTGCATGTTCAGGAAATGCAAATCTAGTTAAAGGGTTTGTTCACCTAAAAATGTAAATTATCCCATAATTCACTCACCCTCAAGCCATTCTTGGTGTATATGACTTTCTTCCATCCATCAGTCCCAAAAGTACCAATACCAAAAGTAATCCATACGCCTCCAGGGTGTTAATAAAGGCCCTCTGAAGAGAAGCGATGCGTTTTTCTAAGAAAAATATCCAGAATTATAACTTTATACTGTAATCACTAGCTTCTGGATAACGGCCGTCCGCGCGTTCACAAGAGAGTCGAGTTCCGGCGGAAGAGTAATAGCACCTTTTTACCAAGTACTTTCAAGGCCAGTATCGACATTATAAATACAAATACATCATTTATTTTAAATAAACCCATTTTAATTATTTTTCTTTTTTTTTTCCTTCAAAGCTTTTTAATGTTTAAATTTCATGGTAAATAAAAAAAAAACAGTGTATCTTTTTTATAATAAAAAAAGTGTACTATGATTTTTATGTGAGGATCGCTCCACTCAATATGATTTTATGAGCCAATTGGACTTTCACTTATACCTGCATGGCTTAATATCTGAGATATACACGTTACTGGCAGAATCAACCAGGGGTGCGTTTCCCGTACAACGACGTAACTCGATGCTTCACTACCATAGTACGATACATCGTTGAAGAAATCAACTAGCTAGTCACGACTTTTTCCCGAAACCATATTGTCGAAAAGTGTTTGTTCAACCACATTGGTTTATGACGTCACACACGTGGTGGAGTAATAACTTATTTTAATGAAACTGTTTGAGATTGAATTAATGATAGATGTTTTGATATAAATTACTAGCACAGCCTCAAAGCCCTTATTACTCTTATCAAACCATTATTACTATGACTATGCATTAGTTCATTTAATGTTTAACTATTGCACAGTATGCTGTGATGTATCATGATTAAATGCACCATATTATATTAAAATGTGTAGTCCTAAAAAAATGACATTCAATCCCCTAATTAATAAAGAATCAGCATAAAGGTAGTAAAAATCTTAACCCGACGCATGACGTGTTGACGAAGTGCAGAGGATAGAACTAAACAAATCACCAGTCACGAATTAAGTCTAAAATTTGAATTTTTAAAGAGAAATGTCAGAGGGGCTTGAGTTTGTTGCCCAGCCCTATTTGTTTGAACCGCGAGAGGCGTCTACTCACCTAAGCTTACGCTATGCTTACGTCATACACCGGAACTCGACTCTCCTGTGTGCACGCGGACAGCCATTATCAAGAAGCCAGTGATTACAGTTTATAAAATTAAAATTCTGGATATTTTTCTCACAAAAATGCTTTGCTTCGCTTCAGAAGGCATTTATCAACCCCCTGGAGTCGTATGGATTACTTTTATGATGGATGATGGATGCACTTGTTCGGGCTTCCAAAAAAATGGTGCCATTCACTCCCATTATAAAGCTTGTATATTTGTTTAATATAACTCTGATTGTGTTTGGCTGAAAAAGAAAGTCATATACACCTAGGAAGGCTTGAGGGTGAGTCAATTATGGGATCATTTTAATTTTTAGGAGAACTAACCCTTTAAAGGTTTAAATCTCCTCTAACTTATTTTATCTGTAAATTCACGGACAAAGGGAATTAATCTGATTAAATATATAATGACCCTGAATGTAATGATTTTAAATAATATAAATATGTATTATCACTTTTCTTTCCATTTTCCCTCTCCCTTTCTTTAACTGTCTCTTACTCCTGATGCAGTGGGCAACCCTCAGACTGGCTGCGGAAAAGAGAAAGCCATCGGTTGTGTGAGCTCAGCTATCTGGAGGTGGGTCTGGGCTCTCAGAGCATCCATCTGGAGTTTGATGAGGGGGCAGCAGCGTACACACTACTAGTGCGAAACAGTGCCCGCTGCAAATGGTTCTTCAGCAAGCTTACAGGCAAGGCTTTCTTTTGCATGCTAGGTGGAAATGACAAATAGCAAAGAAAAAACGAAAAAAATTATTAAAAACAATGTTGGGTGAGCAATGGATTAGCAGGTTTGCTGTTTGTCTGATTGGTTAGCAGTTCAACATGACTAATTATTGTTTAATAAAAGGAACAAAAGATTTGCTTCCTGGATGAAAGCAAAAGAATAGTTTACACAAGATTTAGAAGGAAGTACTGAATGAATGAAGGTGGTTTCCAAAAAAGTGGGAAGTTATGTGTGCACCCAGGTTGTCACTCTTTGTGGTGGTAGTGAATTGTATTGAAGAGTGAGGTTACAATTTATTTTGATAGTCCACATTAGACATTCTACTAACTATAAGTAACTTTGCAACAAACTCTTATTAATTTTCAACTATCTCTTGTACTAGTAAAATGTTGATATATTAGATTCCATGGGGGAAAACTGCCATTTTTTTATATATATATATAAATTAGAGGGCTGTCAACGTTAATGCTGCGTTTAATTTTTGCCCAGTTTAACCCTCTGGGGTCGGCAATCACGCCGGCGTGATCTGCTCGCTTGTTTTCTTATAAGTGCAAAAGAGACTCAAAATACTCTGTTGATTTTGATCGTAAATATAAGTGTTATACATCAATCGATCCTATTAAGTGTCTATTTTTTTGTGGATACTCACAATAAAAACAAAGTGTTGTGCTTTTCGTCAAATAAAGAAAAATAAACATGATGCGCGTTTTGCCTTCTCTCTGTCAGTGAAGTCCATTCTGAAACGCGTCCGAAAAATTAACTGTAACTCAGTCAATACTTGTCACAGAGATACGAGAGATGTATCTTTATGAAGCTGAAATTCTCTTCTTTTAAATGAAGTAATTTATTAAAAAATAAAATATTTCCTATGTAATCCGTTTGAAACCAAGGAGAGGTACAGTTTTTTCGTTCTCCCTTCATTATCTTTAATTAGCTGAGGCCGCCACGCCCATAGAGCTTTTCACATGGTAAATAGGCGATCTATGCATCGCACACGCGGCACGCCCCCCGATCAATGCCATAACAACACAAAGTAACTTTCTTCATCAGAATCACTGATAGTTCATCGCGTTTTGAGGATGGCAGCACGCTACTCCTTCAGAGGATTATGGACAGCAGGGAAAAATTCACCTTTTCCTCAGAGGAATTTGAAACTCACAACGAACGGCTGCATTTTGAAGAACGAATTGACCCCGCGGATGATACAAGCTCGGAGTAAGTTGTTTAGTGTTATATAATTCCTTTTCTGATCATAACGCTCAAATGAATTTTTAGACTATATTTTGTCTAGTTTTGACATAGGAAATATTACCTATACGCTCGTGTAAACTTTTTGAATAACTGCTTCAGTGGTCTAGTGGCAGATCTTTTGCCAAGCGTGTCAGAGGTAACGGGTTCTAATCCGCCCTCGGTATAGTTTTTTTTTCCCTCATCAAAACCGAATATGTTCATCAGTAGTTACAGTCTATATCAAGCAGTTGTGTGCCTTTTATTTTGTGATTTCACCGGAATGAATAGTGTCCGCCGCAACGGCGATAGATTGAAGAGCGCGTCCGAGTGAAGACTGCGCGCGCGCCGCCACAAGAGAACACTGTATCAATGACACTGATAGCAGCGGACACGAGCGCTTAGCTTGAGTTCAAAAACAAAACATTTTAGCGCTAGATCTCTTATTTAAGAGCGGACTAAATGAATGCTCTGCTCGTTAACTGGAGATGTTTTTTGTATTAGGTACATCCGTGCCTCAATGTTTCCAAAAGTGGTGGGTACAAAATGACTCATGACGAAATCTGGTGGGGACGCGTACCCACCGCCCCCACCGAAATCGACGTAAATCGAAGTAAATACAAAATATTTTTTATATATAAATGTTCTGTTTTGGTTAGTCTATTACCCAGGCTGCCAAGGCAACTGCAAAAGGCTGCAAATATAAATGGACAGATGTCAGCATCAGTGAGATGTACCGCTAACTTACCTAACTAACCATCAGCCTTCAGAAATCATTCTGATATGATTTTTAAAAAAATCAATGTTGGAAACAGTTGTGCTGCTTAATTTTTTTTAACCTGTAATAGTTTTTTTTAGGATTCTTTGAATACATTTTTTTTTATAAAAAAGTTTGGTCTTTTTATGTTTGTTTTTTTGAAAGGATGTGTTAAGTGATAGTAATGACTTTAAGTCTTTACGTTCTTAGGAAAGATTTCTATTTTGAATAAATGCTGTTCTTTTTAACTTTTTATTCATCAGTGAATCATTCTTAGTTCAGGCTGCCTCACAGCACCTTGATGGGCCATTGGGGGAGTGTCTTTAGTCTCCCCAGGTGTAAATCACATTAATATTCATGGCCATTCACACTCCCACACATACAGCAGTGCTGACCAAAAACTGACGTAAGAAATTTAAATAGTTATATTGTTGTTTGTGAAAGAGTGGTCAGAATGATTTTCACTTCATTTTGAAGTAAAAATTCTAGCCTACAAGAATACTAACTCAAAAGTCTTGTGGACAACTATTCAGTATGTGTTAAATGGCCTCATTGCGGTGACATTTTTTTCCCCAAAACGTACTAACCACGCATAATATTTTTTCTCTATAAAATGCAAACATGTACATCCATTTTTCTCAAATATTATTGTAGCAGAGTTTGTGCTGAATACTGCAAATTTATATGTTGGCAAATGGTATGATTTAAGTAGCTGAAATAAGCACAAATGTTGGCATGTCAAAACATCTCAAGGGCCCCAAAAACACCTCAGACCCCAGAGGGTTAACATGTTAAAATATTTAACGCAATTAGCGCAGCATCCGTGTCATCATTTGCCGCTTGAACGAACAATAACACACACAATTATGCCAAAATGTCAGTTTTGTTGAGTATCCTCATAACATAAGAGTAGTCTTAAATAGGTTAAATAAAGTCTTAAATGACCGTACAGAGTTGTGAGAGAATGAGGCGCGTGTGAGATCCGCGTCATGTGCAGCAGCGGCTGGTTTTAAAGGGACATCAGCCAATAATGCTGTCTGTCAGTAAAGTTAATCAAAGAACAAAGGGAAAAGAGAAAATTACTCAAGAACTTTTGTAGCTTTAATAAGGATTAGTCTATATTTAACTTTATTTAATTTATGTATATTGTTCTGTATACGTTAGACGGGTAGGAAGGGCACAGGTAAATATGACATTTATTATGGGTTTATGTGAGTATTGTTTGAAGTTCACTTAAATTTCATTCAGTTTCTAAATCATTTTTATCCAGACATCAATAGCTGTATTAGTATCAATATGAGATGCCATTAAACAAGTATTTAAAATATACTGTCTTTATGTTGTCTCTACATTCATTTGGAGATTAACTGTGACATTATTACACTATAAAATATATAAACTAAATATGAACCTATACAAACGTAAGTTTTTTTTAATTGCGATTAATCACAGAAAAAATGTGTGATTAATCGAGTAATTTAATTTTAATCGATTGACAGCCCTAATATATTTACTTACAAGCTTGAAAGTACATGACATATAAAAGTAATCCATATTAATCGAGCAGTTTAATCCAAGTCTTCTGAAGAGACATGATCGCGTTATATGATGAACAGATTTTAATTTAAGCTTTTATTCACATCTAAAAATTAATCAATTACCATTACAATTATACACATGAACTGGAAATCCGTTTCAGTCTGGCGGCTCAGATCGGATTTCGCGTGTTTTTCTCACGCCACATAAAACTTAAGCTTCAGATGTTGTTATAGGAAACGTGCAGAAAGTCGCTGCCAAAACAAGGCTGTGTTGTTCCAAAGTGCCGGACGAGTAGAAAATGACAATATAACAGAGACATGTTTGTAAACCGACAGGGCAGAAAAAAGCCTCCTATGGTCCTGCAGCTGCCTCAGAAGACTCAGTAGACCAGCGAGGCAGCTACTTAGTCATGTTGGAAAATTTAAAAGTGACATATCATGCCCCTTTTCACAAGATGTAATATAAATCTATGGTTTCCCCAGAATGTGTCTGTGAAATTTTAGCTCAAAATACACCCTAGATCATTTATTATAGCTTACCTTTTTTGGATGTGAGTAAAAACGCGCCATTTTTGGGTCTGTCCCTTTAAATGTAAATGAGCTGCTGCTCCCAGCCTCCGTCAGAACGACAGAAGAGTTTGCATGCTTTGCTCAAACTTTTGTCATTGTGTTAGAACTGGTTACACTGTTGTTGCTTGTGAAAACCAAATGGTAGCACCGTGGGTGGAAACATGCAGATTATGGGGCGGTAATATTATTATAAGATCCCCTTCCTACGTCAGAAGGGGAGCGAAGTCTGATCTGCTTATTTTTTTTTCCTGTTTGAAGAGAACGGCTTACCAAAACAAAGTTACTGATTTGTCACTTTTCACGTTTTCTGGGTTGGTAGATGCAACAGTGACCCGATTATAGCACTTATCATGAAATTCAGACTTTTTCCATTAAGTCCCCTTAAAATAAGACAACATCTCTATTGCAAACCCCTCCATGTTGCAGTTGTTGTTGTATTTGGCGTTTACCTACCAACACAACGTCATCGCCATAGAAATTAGAAACCAATGCAGATATTCCGGAAACCGAAAGAGCTGCATGGACACACAAATCGGACACACTTCAATAAATTTAGATCAGATTCCAGTCGGATACACGAATAATCGTATTTGGACTGACAGTCTGAACGTAGCCTTTGATCATTGTTCGAGCTGAAATATGCAGGAAGGTAGATCTCCAGGATCAGGAATGGGCTTTCATGGTACAAGGAAGTTTGATTTCAAACTTTTAAAAAATGACTAAATAAAGATCAGTAAACAGTAATAAAATAATAAATGACTGACAATAGTACAAATAAATAATACATACAGATACAAATGAAATAAACAGTGCTTTAAGTTTTTCAGGTAGGTCTTACAGTAGTATTCAGGTAAGAAATACTACAGAAATTGA